GCTACTTGTTTACCTTGATACCCCTGTTTGCGTCCCTCCCAATTTGTTTTGATCATACTCGTTGACTTGATCACCCTCATTCTGCCGCTGTATATCCTAGCTGAACGTGCTTATATATTATTTTTGTATTAAGTCCTTTGTAATTGGATCTTGAAACTCATATTATGTCCACAATTATTGTTTTGTCTAATGTCTTTCAAGATACATGACCTTTATGCAAACTCCATAGTTAATACATTTCTAATTTCAACAGTATTAATGAGTGGGAGGGATTGTCTGACGTTAGATGTACATTGTGTTGCATTTTACATCTGGGCTCTGTTCAGCAGTAAATTAGTAGCAGTAAATTATGGTTTATTCTTCCTTATAAAAGTTGTCTTATAGTAATTGTTGTCCCCTTTTCTTGCTTTTGTCAAAATGAGGTGGCTGATCGAATTTCATCTTAAACTGAACTTAATTTGAATTGGATTTGCACCAATGGAAACCATAAACTTTATCCCCAATTTGAGTTGGATTTGCATGGGTTTCTTTTTTCCATTCTCAGTTATGTCTTGACGATGCTCAGCATTCTTCACATTAGGTTTTCCATATTTTATAGTGCATCTGACCTCTGTAGTTTCTTAATTATTTAGGTCGTGGTTTTTGAGCTATGGTCAAAGTCACAGGTGTCATAGTAACTGCTTGCAACATCAACCATATTGGTGCATGGGATTGATTCATATCAATCGTTTTCAATACACTTGCATACGAGTGCTAGTTAATATGTCATTTCCGTAACCTAATACATGACGGATGTTATTTGGGAGTTGATGATTGGATAAGCTTGATGAATGGTATTGTATTTTTAGCACATGCCAGATAAAATGATACCAAATGCAGGAGCTCAGCTCAGTGAAAGTAAGGAACTAGTCAACTTGCACCTTTATTGTTATAAAACTTCTAAAGAGAAATCTTTCGTATCATTTGTATTTAGTTTATCAAAGGATCTATGCTCGACGTAGAACATCATATGAATAATCCATATTATTGTTGCAGAAAATATAGGGAGCATTATGTTTTCCAAAGTATAGACTGGAGAACCAAAGGTTGGCCACATTTCAGAATCGACGGATGGTGCTCAGGTCATTTGCAACAGAAACCAAAGGATCAGCAAAACCACATCTTGCAAACTGAGAAGTTTTTGACTTTTAATACTGCATAATATGATGTTTCCAACCAGCCTCATGACTGTCCATGGAAACTTTCAGTTAAAAGTCGAGGCGTACAGGACTGAAGAAACGTGAACCTCCTTCAAAACCTACTGGAGCTATCCCCATAAAGAAAAATTGGGATGTGGCTCATCGTATAAAACATCCGAAATTGTCTTCAGTTTCCATGATTTGTTCTCATGCTTTTGTTGATGCATGCATCACATTAGCATTTCTGAATTCCTATACTTACTGCAGAGGTCTTACTAGATTCTAATATATAAGATTGTACAAATAAAGGACCTAATACTTCCCAATATGTATACCTCTTATATATATATATGTATAATTGCTAGCATATCATTTAATAAAACCTATTAAATAAAACCTCCATGTAATCAATATAACGATTAATATGCAAGTAAAACAATTTATATTTATATTGTACATTTACATATAGTCAAATTTTTTAAATGTAACACACACATTGTCTAATTCAGAATTTTAAATACTATAAGCATACATGTAATATATATATATTTATTTGTCTTTGTACATGTGCACGTGATCGGATATTAGTATTAATGAAAAAGAGAATGGAAGCTAACATGTTTGCCATGTTGAACTGATAATGTGCGCAGGCTGTTTTGCCCTTGCGAATGGGTTATTTTGCTTTACCCTAATTCCAGTTCTTTTTTTGTCCCTCTTTCTTTTTCTTTTCGACTTCAAACAAGCTGAAGATTGCTGCCTAAGTTCAATATTTTTCATTTTATATATAGAATATGGGTGTTAAATTTAAGTTCATTAAATGTTGAGTAATTTTTATATAATATATAAAAATAAAATACAAATAAATGAGTTATAAACATCTAAACGTAAGAAAAATATATATTTATAGCAATTAATATATGACATAACAAGTAAAGAAAAATTAGTATATAATAATTTAAGAAATGAAAGTTAAAATAGTTTATGATAATTAGGGGTGGAGGTACACATATTGTTGTCTGGGTTGTAGTCCGAGTAGCCTATCACGTCTCATTAATTATATATATATATATACACACATTGTTCATTATTTAGCTGATGTATGAGATGTTCTATGATATTTTTGACAATATTTTATTAAGTTTTCTTGCTTGGTGGCTTATCGACAGATAACACTGTATGACTAGGAAGAGTATTTTTAGAGATAATTACTTAGAGATATTTATATTAAGATAATTACTGGGCAAGTTATTTATCAAGGATTATTTGTTTAAAGAAAATTACTTGGTAAGTCGGTTATGAGTTTATAATAATTGTTTTTTCATAATTTATATTTTAAATTTAATTTCATTTATTTTTTTATATTAAATAATTGGTGGCCAATATTCACTTTTTATTTAGTAATACTTATTTATCAACAATTTTTAATTAAGATGTCTAATAGTTATACAACCATACTTTTTAATATTTATATATTCTTATCAAATGCCATAATTTATATTATATTATAAATAAAAACATGAAAACTTATCTTATAAATATACATTTTTATGATAAAATATAATTATCTAACTGTTAAGAAGCCTAACAAAATTAGATTATTTATTTTGGATTACTCTTTTATTTTGTTTGTCATACTTATAATTCATTTATGTGGTATGCTAGTTTCATTTATTAATTGCATAAAATGTAATTGCATAAATTATATTTATATACATTGCATATTTTTTGTTTGAGTGATATATAACATATTTTTTAGTGTAACTTACATGTACCATATAGTGTAAATTATAATTAGTTGATTTTAGTAATAACTACCTATGATAGAATAATTAATATAATACAATTACACTTAATTAATATAATATGCAACAGTTTTATCATAATCATAATTAAATGAAAAAACATGCGGAAAAATTTATCGTTTGGATTTTGAGTGACACTATGAGACTTTTTGAGATTTGACAGTTTTGCTATGGAGCAATCGGATGGCTCGGCTTATGGAGCAATCCATACTTATTCACCAATAGTGTATTGACACGTGTCTTACAATAAATACAATTTGGACAAGTGTCAATATATTAAACAATGAATGGCTCCATAAGAAAACAATCCGATTGCTCCATAGAATTTTTGTGAGATTTGATACCTTTAAAGATTTTCAAATTTTGAAGGAATCTTGTAATATTTTAATCTTAAAAATCTTAAGAAATCATAGTCTCAAAAATTAAATATCTCAAAATTTTATATGACTTTTTAAAATAGCAAATGAGTACCCAAAACTTATGAAAAAAAAAAAACTAAATTAAA